TATGCTTAACCATACCTATTCTACCCACCAAATGATGCTGTGTACCCTTCATTCAGGAAATGGTCATTGCTTGGCCACTCTGTGCTAGCACTTTGCATTGGGCTGAGGATACAGAGATGACTTTGCAACGGCTGAGGATATTATCGTGCCCTTGAAGAGCTTAGACTCCTGGTCTTCAGAGAATGTGTCTTGAATGTTTTTGACCTGCTGTTTTTACTACCATTTGATCTCTTTTCACATTTCTACCCAAATATCCTAATTTTTTTCAGTCTTGTTCCGCGATATTCCTTAATTTCTTTTGTTTCCTCAAGCTTCTCCTCTGTGTTCAACTTCAGTGTGGAATTAGCCAGCCTTGAACTCTATGGAGGAAAGCTAATGATCTAGTGATCTAATAAATGTTCAAGTGATACTGATATTACTGTATCTCATTAGTATTTGAAAAGGAAAAGAGATAGTGTTGGCGAAAAACACTCTTTCTCCTACAAGGGAAATAAAAGACAAGAGGCCTAGAAAGGTCTGCCCTGACTCTATAGACCTACTCATATCAGAATAAATTACATTTTACCCATGGTAGGAGCTGTGCTCAGTCGAGGTGAGATTAAAGATTTCAAGGCTGTTCCATAAATGGATTGAGTGTAAGTGCTCTCATTGCTATAGCTTAAAAGAGTTGAAATTGTCCCTGAAGCAGAATGGAAGCACCTTAGCTTACTCTCTTGGTCATTTATTAGTATGGCCAAAGTAGTCCTATCTTGGATTACTTCCCCTCCCCCTCCACAATGGAGAGATCTTCTTGGCTCTGGAATTTGCCTCTTAGTGTTTGTTAAATGCTTAAAAAGCTAGGCCTCCCACTGTCTAAAACCTTGAAGCAGACAGGCCTGAAAGGACCCCTTTAGGGAGGCCAGATGTTTAGAAATAGAAGCTATAAGGGAAAGGAAGGTTGCATTTGCCAGGAGGTGTGTCCAACAAAGAGGAGACAAGCTTTTCCATTTAGAGAGGGAAAAAGTCCTTTGAAGTTATGAGAAGGCCATGCTGAATTGAAAGATCAGAGTTGAAGATCTGACCATATTGGAAATTAGCATTGCTAATGAGGTTTTCAGAGAATCACAGATTATTTTAATCTACTTAACCTTCTCTATAAATATTTGACTTAGAAAACACTGTACTTCTATTTTTAATAGTCTAATAACGGATGAATGTTATTTTTAAGGCAGTAGCAACAATGTTAATATCATTTTTTTCCAACAAGAACCATCAAATAATAACACATTGCTTTATTTTTGTCATTCCCAATTCCATGTCAGAGAGTGGTAGCCAACTGTCTAAGCTGCCTGATATATGGGAAGGTGAGGACAGTCTAAGTGGCTAGCTGACAAGGCTATTTGTTCTCTACTGACAAATGTATGGCCAAGTATCCAAATGTCGGCTGCTCTACATGGGCCTAGATGAGCTGAACCCTGGGAACCCAAGCTTTTAAAAGACAGCTGATCAGTCTGGTTTACAAAAAGAGCTCACTACCCTCTTTGGCATGGCTGCAACCCTTCCAGAATGTTCCCTGAATGAGAAGGTCAAAACACCCTGTGTCTGCTAATATGAATGAATCAGCTGCCCTTGTTCATCATTTCAAATAGTCTTGCATTTCAAGGCTGAGCTCCTTTGATAAACTTAGGTTTTTTTACCACTATCTCAAGCCTGACTTGTTCTCATGTTGACTCAGTTTCCATCGTTTGTTTATTGATCCGCCATGTATGTATTGGGCACCTACTATGTAACAGGTACTATCCTAAACACCTAGAATACGATGTTGAGCAAAACAAACAAGCTTCCTGTTTATGTGGGGGTTATCTCTTAGCAAAGGGAAATAATTAAATGAACAGCTCCTCAGTCTTTTGGCTAAGATCAAGTGTAATAATTAAATGAACAAATAAGAAAGAACATACCAGGCAATAAGAAGCACAAAAAGAAAGAAAACAAAATTAAAAAAACAGTAACACACACAAACACAACAACAAGAGATACAGGATAACATGAAAGGGAATGACTGGAGAAAGAAAAAGGCATTTTTAGAGGAGGCAGTCTGGGAAGAAGGACCCTGCAAGGAGAAGAAAGTAGAGCTAGGAATTGAATGACAAAGTAAGAGAGACAGGAGAAATAGATCCAAGGAAACCCTCCAGATAGTTCCAGATCTTTCCAGATTGTTCTAGATCATTCCAGACAAAAGGAATAGCAAGTGCAAAGGCATAAAAAGCCAATGTGGCTGAGGGGTGGGGAAGGAGAAGGTTGGAATTGGATAAAAGCAAAAAGAGAGATGGGAGACAGATCAGATAATGCTTTAAAGGCATAGGGAAGGGTTTAGATTTTACTTTAAGCCTATTGGACAGCTGTTGAGGTATTTTTCTCAGATAGGTTATATGATCTAATTTATACTTTAATTATGGGCAGCATATAAAGGGTGCTTTATTAGGAGTAAGAGTGAAAGCAGTGGGACTACAGAGAGCCCATTGCAGTGGCCCACGCCAGAGGTGATAGTGGCAAGGTGTTAGCAGGGGAGGCATAGAGAATGTTAATCCTGTATCTGGAACAAAATAGGAGGCAGGAAAAGCTAACCCAACTGGCAGATTAGCATCTACCTATTAGTCTTAGAAACTTATCTGGCTGAAGTTGACCCAGAAAGCTCTTTAGAGATAATTCAGTGGAAATCCTTCAATTAAAGCATGAGAAAAATTGAGGCATGGACAAATTCAAGGACACATCGAGGGTCATAGAGCAAACCACTAGCAAACCCAACACTGAGCCTCATACTTCCTATCTTCCCAGGTGTTAAACAATGTGCTCAAGTTCATGCAGAATCCAGCAAGGCCTGGGCATGGGTCTTGTTGGCTTGATAAATCTTCTGTCTGCACCAGGGATTCCCAGTATCTATGGTGTGGATCTGCACACTGGGACAGTTTAGGAGATATTGCAAGGCCACAAGTCCAAATGTGGATTTGTCATAACATGTGTACAGAGGAAATAAAAGTGTAAGGTCTGTCGTGTTGCATCTAGAGCAGAGTGGGCAACAGCTTCTACATGGCGTCCAACTAGGCTCAAATCTTAGCTTTGCCAATTATCGACTGTGTACTTTTTGATAAGTCACCCTACTCTTTGGGTCTCAGTTTCCTCATCTGTAAACTGGAATGAAAATAATACTTCTTTGTAGCTTTGTGAGGTCCACGTAAGGTGCTATACCAACATATACTTAGGTAAAGACCTGGCACAAATATTCAAGAAACATTCACTAAGAATATGTGAGAGACAAAACTTTCTTTCTTTTACTTGATATGGGGCTCTTAATATCCAAAATTGCTCACTGGCTACCCTGAGGAAACCATTAAGTGTGGTTCCCCCACACAGGTGCACTGCTGGAAGCAGCAGCCTCCTCGGCTCCACACTAACCCTGCCCCTTGTCAGCCACCTGCAGGAACTGTGGCCTTCCGCACAGAGCCATCATTCCTCCGGGCAATCCTCCTTGCATTGACTCTGCAAATGCTTACTGAGTGCTCACTTAAACGCCTGGTGATTCTCAGCCTTTTTTTTTTTGCCTTCAGATGTGTTCACTGGCTTAATTTACTCTGCTGCGTAACTTCTGTCATTGAAGTGCGGTGATTTTTTCAATAAGCAGGTGAGGGGTGGCCATGGAGGACTCAGGGAGAAAAGGTTCCCTTACGAATTGCAAAGAGGCAAGCACAGTTTGAGGAGTTGCTACGTACAGTGAAGGTTCATGCTTAAGGGAATAAACAGATCAAAGAAACAGGAGGAGAAAGGGAGCTAGAGGTCCCTGAACTCAGTTGGCATGTGTTTCGTGTAGGTTTGAAAGCACTGGTGCCAGTATACCCATTTTACAGAGGGCAAACTAAGGCTCAGAGACCTTCAGGAGCTTCCTGAATCACATGGCTAGTAAGTGGAGGATTGGAACTAGAACTGAGGGTGCCTGATCTCTTACCATGGTTTTTTGGTTGGTTTGTTTGGTCCCCAACCTCTCCTCCTCCCTCCCCACTGAGTTGTTACTGTGTGTACAGGGAAAGGAAGAAAGGGAGTAAGAGAAGAGATGACGGTGATGGTGATGGTGTGGTGGTGACAGTGTGTGTGTGTGAGAGAGAAACAGAAAGAAAGAAACAGAGAGAGGGACTCAAAGAAAGACTTGGGACAGATTCTGAATTAATACCCACCTACAAAAAACATGGCCAGCCTATGTGAGTTTCAGCTGGGCCATCACCAGCTGCACAAAGGCTATAGCAGAGACATCTGCGCCAGCCTGACAACCCTCCTGCACCGAGTGGGGTCCTGAAGCCAGGGACACACGGGCAGAGGCGGACAGCTTTCCCTTCCCTGTGCTGTGGTCTAGGCCTGCAGGAGAAACCGTCCCCAGGGCACCAGCGTGAGAGACCATGGGACCTGTGAATTCGGAGCCAATGCCCCCAAACCACATTGCCTCCAGGTGCCATGATTTTGGCCCTTTGCAGTAGTTAAGCTGGACCCCTTCCTACAGAGGCTTTTTTGCAGAAAAAGTAGATCCAGATCCCATTTAAACCTCTAAACCCTTTTTAATTTTGAGATTTTGTAGGAGACAGCTTTAAGCAACACTCCTATGATGAGAGAGCAACCAAGTTGTAATTTGTCCCTTCCACAGTTGCCAGAGCCTGAAAAGCCCGCCGTCCAGTCCTGTCACCTTAATGATTATTTACGGGCAGTCTATGAATTTCCCAAATGGGGATTATGCATAACATCTATGCATTTACATAAAAACGAGGGCAATTTTTATTTAACAAACATGTCAACATTTACTTAATCTATGCAAATCTATTCATAAGGATTTTATAAAACCCCTGCTCCCCCCTACACACCCCCAACACACAAAATCCTGGCTCCTTTTTATCTCCCAGTTTGTTTTTAAGCACTGTGCTTGAGGGAGGAGGGGGCTTGCAGAGAAAAGGGGAGACGGTGCCTCTCTTGGTGATGCAGCCTGCTTGTGCAAGGCGGCCCTGCACTTTCACTTGTGAGCAAAGAGCCAAGTGTGGGAGCTCACCATGGTGGTAACCACCTCCCCACGACGCAGGCAGCCTTCACCAGAGGGAAGTATCAGGTTCCTGTACTCGGCTGTGGGTTGTCACCATCTAATAATATGACCGTTTTGCCATCTCTCTGCAAATAAGGCAGAAGCTGCTACCTGATTGGTATAACATCTCACTTTCCCTCTGCATTGATTTTCTTGTTCTCCTCCTTTGCTTCATAAAAGAGGGACAAGTGGCTGGTGCTGTGGACAGAGAAGCTTTGTTTTTAGTATGAGACAACCTCTATTTTCTTTCAGGAGAGGGAAGTTGGATTATCAATTCTTTTGTAAATGTGTATGGTGATATTTGCTCCGGTAAGTTTATATCTATCTTGATTTACAGCTGGCTCTGTATGTTGTGTGTGTGTGTGTGTGTGTGTGTGTGTGTGTGTGTGTGTGTGTGTGCATAGGTACATTTGGGCTGTACATTTTTCTTTCCAAATATCATTTTTTAAATCTTTAGTGACAATATCTCTGTTTTGTTTTTTTTTTTTTACTTTGCTTTTTGTAGTCATATGTTTAAACCAAAGAGGCTATGTGTTGCTGGTAGCGTAATGTTATCTTAGCTATTGAAGTATATGCTGGGTTTCTTTTAACGTCGTAGTAAGGAAACTAAACAAACTTGTATTGGGCTTTATAAAAATGTAATGTCACTTCACCCCACCACGTTTTGGAGTGTTTAATATCCTCAGTGCATGCATGGTGCTGCACCCTGCTTACCATTTTAATTAAAGTTTCTTTGTCAGTGTCAGAATGAGAATTTCTAAAACTCTTTAAATAGCTACCAAATATTGTATGCCGAGCCGAAAGATGTGTGCTAATTCCATAAGGTCTCATACCAATGTAGAGTGAATGAGTTTCCCCAACGATCGGGTGCACACACCTTTAAAAGAATTGAATGTGCAAAGTATTCAGATCATGAAAGTAAAGCCCTAGCAGTCCATGAAAAGCTGTAATTACAAGTGGCTGTTGCTTCTCTTCCGTCTTTTCTTTGCACTGTGTATTTGTGCCACCATCTGTCAAATGCCCAGCCCTGGCTCTCATATTTCTATATCTGAAGCTAATCAGGAGAAAAGTTGCTGTTATTAAATTCAAACTAGTACAAAATGACTGGTCAACACTGGAATGCTTTTAAATGCATTACCTGGTTAACTTTGTCTGTGAAATGCTGCATTTTCTTCCCTCCTTTGAGAAAGAAACTGCTTTTTTTGCCCCAGAGAGTAAAACATGGTCTAAATTCTCTGTTGTTAATTCAGAAGTCTGGGGAAAAGTATATTAATATAATTATTCTAGACAGAGATGATAAGGTGATTAAGTAATTGCTTTAATGGAAACCAACTGATGCTTTAATCTTCTCTTTTTATTACACAATCAACAAATCTGCATAGTCTTTTTCACGATGAAAATGAGCAAGAGAATATATTGATAGTGAAAGTTAAAGGCATAGTTGAATGTGAAGTAAGAGGAGGTCTGACTATATATTTTTCAGAGATTTTGAAAGTAAAGTTGTGAATATCATCATGCCTAGAGCTCTTGGGCATAGATTTTTTTTTTTTTTTCAGAAGAGCAATTTTTCAGATTCTGAAGTGGTCTTACAGAAGCTCATAGAAATAGTGATGTGCTGTCTGGGAATGTGCTGACCCTCCTATCTGCTCCCTTTGGCCTTGCCACCACTAGCACACCCCTTGCACGCCACAGTGAAGCTCCTCGTTCTGGCAAATAGGCTGAATTTTGATTCATCTAACTCAACCTCAGAAATAGACAAATCTCTCAAGCCTACACAAAGTTATTATGTTGCCTTGTTACTGGTCTCAATAAATATGTTTCTAATAATGCTCTTAGATGCCATAAATCCTAGCTGGAACCTAGTGCTCCTTAACAAATAGTTTGTTGGAAAAACAAATAAAACTTTTATGCTTGGGCTGTTGCCAATGACTGGTAAGTGAGCTCATCAGCATGGAACATCCCTTCTCCCCTCCCCAAACACACACCTCCAAGCCCCCACCATTGCTTAATATTTTCTATTATCATTCTCCTTTCATGGCCATTTTGTAACAGGTTGTATATAAAGTCTTAGCTGTAGATGGAGTGTATCATCATCTGAAGCTATTCAGTAATATAAATTAATGAAGTTTCAGGGCACAGCGTGCACCCTGCATGTGAAAGTTTCTGACTTTTCCTCCCGATTGCTAGCTTACAGGAATGTTAGGGCTCCAAGCATGTTCAGACCCACTGCCTGGAAGGACAACAGGGCATCTGAATCTTAAACAGGTCAGGACCTGGAGTTTGAATTAGAGCTAATGCACACAGTCTTTAAAAGTATCACTTCTGAAAAATCCATGATGCCATAGCCAGAAAATCTGTTGTAATCTCTTCTGAGGCAGGAAATTCTGTGCCATCTCGGGGAAAATAATAAAGGTATTTTTTAAAAAAATTTCACAATGAGATCATCTATTCTTTGTAGCATAATGAAGAATGCAATAGTCATTCTATTTCGTAAGTACCTGCTCTATGCCTGGCACATGGCTTATCTCCTTCCATCTTCACAACCCCTCTATGAGGGAGAGGACATTACCTCCCCATTTTACAGATGAGAGAATGGAGATGAAGGATGAGGCTGGCAGGCTCATCCCAGAATCATACTCTTCATCTCTCCCCTCTGTCGGGGTTTGTCTTCATCAATACAGCAAACACCTAGACTGGAATGACTTACAGGGGTTCACAATAATACATCATATTTTCATTAGTATGTTCCCCCTTCTGACACTATATAATCTCCTTCCCAGACTGTGTCTTTTTTTAAGTATTTGAATAAGACTATGTCTGGTTATATACTCGAAGCTGAAGAATGTGTGCTTCATTTCCACTCAATTTGTGCAGATACAAAGATGCAGATGTGATCAAAGTGGGCCAGCTTAGGGTAAGATATATGCAGAAGTGGCTAAATTAAGGTAGCTTTTTTAATTGATTGAAATTAATCCATTCCTTTGGATTTCAATCTTTTGGACATAAAGTCAAAATAAAGGTACCTTGATAGCTTAGAAATATCAATATCTCAAGGCATCTGGTTTGTTATTGATGCAAAATAGAAAAAGCAATTCCAACTGAATTATTTGTGGAGCACTTTATGGAATTCTCACCTTCCTCTGATTTACCCCCACCATGATTTTCTTTCTATTCTTTGGCTAACTGGAAAAGGCTGAGGTAGCACTTCAGGTAGAATATTACGAAGTCTCTGTACCACCTGGGTAATTTAAAAAGGAACACAGGTACTGATAAGCATTCTGAGAAGCGTGACAAAGTCGAAATTCAGAGTCCCCAAATGCATTCCTCTGCACCTGAGCTCCCCATTTGAAATCCACTTGAGCCAATAAAATTCAGATGAGTCTTGGAGGGGGAAAATGTAACTGACATAGAATCAATATGTTTGAAATTTCTCCCCAAGTGGCAGGTTTTGGGCTGGAGGCAGGGCATGCCAGCCATAAGGTGAGTCTGTGAAATGCTGCATTTTCTTCCCTCCTGTGAGAAAGAAATTATGAGGATAAAAGTGTTACTAGAAGATAGAACCTAGCTCAGGATGCACTTGCTATATTTTACCAAAACCCAGAGGTATCTAAACAAAGACCACCCACCACAAATTGGAAGTGCTACGAGTCAAGTTTTGAAGTTTTTAATACAATAAAGACTCCTTGGTGTGCTCTGCTGTGTCTAATAAACAAGGGCTTTTGAGGTACCCCAGTGTAGCGACCCAATTAATTAAAAAGAGTGCAGAGTGCAATACCCAATAAAATATGTTTAAAAAAGGACAGTCATTTTTGTCAGAAGCAAGCTTGGTAACTCATTGATTCTGCATCATCTCTTTTTCTTGTTCCTAAAAAGAGTCATAATTCGGTAGTTTAATCAGAAAGTGTGGTATTAGAGCCGGTATTGATAAATAAATTTAAATTAATTTGCTTTTTCCAACAGCATTTATGAGAGTTCTGAATATACTAACAGCCACTGAATGAGAACTTTTACTTTAATGAAATATGTTGTGCTCAGCTACAGTGTTCACCAAATATAGGCTATCCCTTAAAACAAATATTAGAGACAATTTTATAAAGTATATCATATTTCAGTCTCTAGCTAGAAGGTACTACTTTCTCTGGTGAAGTGAACAAATCCCAAATAAATAGTAGTGGAGATTGTACTCCATCTTACCTAGGTTTCCTTCTGCCCTTTCTTTGGCATGGATGTGTGTACTTCAACATATCAATCATTAAGTATTTTAAAATAATCTATTAAGTATGGAACAAGCAGCTGGTGTTTACTCATAATGCCTGTTGGACTGGCCTTGGATTTATCATCAAACAGAGGCTGGTGTACAAACAGAGCAGTGGTCCTATTCCATACTCATGTGAGAAGATGGCATCAGTGAGTATTTGAGCCTGAAATTAGCACATGAAGTACTAAATCTTCTAGAAGAGTCTCTTGAACATCAGTATGTCTTTAAATGTTTAAAGATTCGGGGTTTGAAAATGGAAACACCTCAGTCTCTGCACTCTGCAGACTAATGGATCTGCATAATTAATACATTTTACAGTGATCATTTTTAACACAGATTCTAGCCAAAAGTACTAATGGAAAAGTGTTCAGGGGCAACTCTGAACACATTTCACTATAGTTTCTGGAAGCTTATTCGTGACTCAGGGCCATCAGTTTACTGTGGAGCTTTGGGTTGGCTACTGTGAGTGAATATCATGTCATTATGGTCCTTTGGTGGGGAGTGATGTGTTGGCCATAAAAAGTTTCTACTGGTAATCCCCATGTGACTTCTTTCACCTTACAGAATCTTTAAATCCTCCAAAATTAATATGCAGAAAGTGAAGACTTTCTGGCAAAGATATGAAAAATATTTTAGGCTTACTTTGTTTCTGATAAGATATGGGTTTCAGAACCTTTGTGTCCAATATGTATTATTGCAAGGGCTTTTTAAGTTACCATATTGACAACCACTTCCCCACGATGAGCCCATACACATATCTGGCTTTTGATCTCCACAAGGGAAGAAAATGGATATAATTTTTCAAAACCTATGACATTGAAATTACCTTCATATGAGACTGAATAGTAGAGGGAAAAAAGTTTTAATTGGAGACAGATTTGAGAAAAGGGCTGGAATGTTGACTTCACAGGGCTATTCTTTCATTCAGTAAATACGTAAGGATGCCTACTACGTGCCAGGCACCACGCTTGGCACAGGAGGTACAGTGATGAACAAAATAGATATAATATCTGCACTCCCAGAGTTAAATGCCTTCATTTTCTACTTTCTC